CTGCCGGGCCGGGGCTGGGGCCAAGAGGGGGGTCTGCCCGCCCGCCTGTCCCGTGCCTGGCACCGTGCCGCTGCGCCAGGGACGCGCCCTGGCACCCGGCGGCCTCCGCACGCGGCCCAGATGCCGCCACAAAGGGCCAGAGTCAGGGGCAGCGGTGGGATCCAGCGGGCCACGCTCCTGCCTGGCTGTGAGGGGATGAGCGTGGGGCTTGGGGGCAGCCCTGGCACTGCCCACCTTCATGCCCGGTCCAGCAGCCTCCTTCTCGCCCCGCAGCTCCAGTCCTGCCCCCAGCCTGGGAACTCCCGGTCCCCGCTGGGCCTGCCGCTTGCTCGCCCCCACCTGCCCATGCATGCTCAGCAAAGGCTCCTCGGCCCTCCGCGCCCTCTGGCTCTCTCCTCCGGCTCCCACCATCTCCTTTCAGGATCCCCCAAGGTTTCCATTCGCATCTCCCAGGTACGGCTGGGTGGGGAGAGTCCCTGCTTTGAACATGCACACGTGTGTGTCCAGGACCCCACAGCCACCTCGGGACACCCTCCCCCAGAGGAGAGGAAGGCTTCTTCCCCTTGGCAGCTGTGCCCTAGGGCTCCTGGACCATCTGCGGGGTGTTTCCGGGAACATCTGCCTTTCAGTCGTGCTGCTTCTGCCACCTAGTGACACAGAAAAATGAAAAGGATGAGGTTGTCCCACTGGTTAGGCCTAGACCTGGATCTCCCTGGGCAGGGGTCCCAGGCTAAGTGGCATCTCGTAGGGGCGCTGGATGGCTCAGAGGCTGAGAACGAAGTACTGGGCTGTCCCACCGGTTCAGATCCATGGTGGGAGTAACTAAGCCTTGTCTGACGCAGACTCGGCCTGGCTCCCAGCCTTTTCTCGGGCAGGTCCAGCCTGAAGGGGCCTGAGACTGAGCTCTGGAGCGTGTCTCCCTCAGCCCTTCCAAGCTGCATGGGTAAAAGGGCAGACTTTGCACCTTAATGGCCAGAAATCAGCCCTTTCCAACAGCACCCAGCCTGGTTGTCCTGTCTCCCCACCAGCCCTGTACCCCAACGTGCTGCTGCCTCCTGGCTCAGCCGTGGGGCAGATTCTCCCCTGCTTTTCCATCTCCCTGGTGCTTTCCTCCCTGGTTTGGCCTTGTGGGGGGAGGAGGAGGTGGATTTTGCCATGAGCAAGTGTCAAGCAAGCACAAGAGCCAGGATTTGGAGAAAGCCCAGCCCTAGGCACGTCCCAGCTGAGGCTGAGAGCTGTCGTGCCCCCTCTGCTCCAGAGGATAGGAGCGGGAGCTTCAGGCACCCAGCCCCTCTCTGAACCACACCTCAGCTGCTGCAGTAGGGCGCCCCGCAGGAGAAGCACCCACGTGCAAAAGACGTGTCTGTGGGCTCCAGCCAGCAAAGGCATTTCCTGGGGTCCGAATAGGATTCACGTTCCTCGGGCCTCCTATTGAAACAAGTCAGTGCTTCTGCCAGCCATGGTCCTTTGCTCTGAGCAGTCACCTGCCCCCGCGTGCTGTGATCCCAGCAAAGGGCAGGCCGGAAGAGCTGGCATGGAAGGACTGGTGGAGTGACGCACACAGGCAGATCCCTTAGAAACGGAGGGGTTTTCTTGTTCTCCCCTCACATCCGTTCCCTGAGTTCCTTGCCAGCCTGGACTCTGTGTTGCCAGTGTTGGGGTCCTGACAAGTGTGTCCCTGGGAAGGGAAAAAACAAGAGAAGGGTCCAAGGTGTCACAAAGGCTTTGCTGAACCCGGCGAGCAGAGAAGACTTGTGCATCCTCACTGAAGACAGCAGCCACGTGCCCAGCTGTCCTCCATGGCCAAGCCCATGAAAAGAGCCTTCTGCTCATCCCCGTAATGCTTAGTGCTGGCAGGACTTGTTCCTCCAACGCAGGAGGATCAGACTCATTTGGTTACCCTTCTAGGACCGGATGTCTTTGTGAAATGTTCTTCTAGACCAGTGGTTTTCAACCCGTGGTCCATGGGCCGTGGGGGTCTGCAGACTATGTCTAAGGGGTCCATGAAAGATGACTATGATCAGGCAAAAATATGTGAATACCTACACTTACAATCCAAAGGGGCCCGCACCTCCAATCAAAATTTCCAAAGTGGACCGCAAATGAAAAAAGGTTGAAAACTACTGCTCTAGAGTGACCAGCTACAGGACTTGATGCCAGCATGGTGGGGCCTGCATCTACCGGAGATCAAAAGAAGTGATCATAATCCTCCCGTCTGCAATTAGCCAGCCCACAATGGCCCACACAGCTACGCTGCTTCCAGGAAGCAGCCAGCCTGTAACAGCATGGCGTGTCTGTGGGCACCGCTGCTTGGCGCGACATATCTGTGGTGCCCGAAAAATCAGGGGTGGAGGCTGAACTCCAGACAGGCAGGCCTGAATGAGCTGGGCCTGGGTGGGTGTTTGGGTGACAGCCCTCCCACGTGCTGCAGGAAGTGGTGCGAGCGACTCCCTAACAGCCCCAGATCCTCGGAGTCAGGAGGGAGCCAGTGCCCCGTCTGTGCTGCTTGACCCTTTGAGAGCTTGACCCTTGGCAATCCCAAAGAGCCTAGGGGCTCTCTACAGTCCTGCCGCGGTTGGCTTCATGTCCCGGGTAAATTTTGGTTCCAGTACCTGTGTCCAACCTCTGGGCCCCGCCCTTTCTGTGCCGCTCACATTGAAAGCTGTTCCTCATTTCCTCTCCTAAGAGAGGTGCTCTTTCCCACCCCATCCATATTCCCCATAAAGGGGGAAACAAAGCAATCCCTTCATCTTACTGATGTGTCCCGCACTGCTGGGTAAATTAGTGAATTGGTGTTTGTAACATGCTTTGAGACCTTCAGATGACAAAGGTGCTGCAGTGGGATTTTTATAGGATCAGCATCAAGATCTGAGATGGTAACTTGATGTCACGGCTAGGTAAAGCAGGAGTGCCTACAAGACACCTTGGATGTAATAAAAAGATGTGCCCAGCAAGCGTTCCCCAGCCCAGAATGGCAGGCAGCGTCCTGGGCTTGACGCTGCTCAGATTTAAAGTTCAAGGCAACGCTGCCTCTGAGGAGCACCTTTCCTGGTGTCGCTGCTTCTGCATGTGACTACCCCTGTCTGCCTCCCAAAGCATCTGACAAAGCTATTGCTTATGAAAGCAAGGTGCAACCCTTCCCTGCCTTCTGACGGGCACAAGAAGTGCATCTGAGATCAGAGCTAGCTGTCATTGCTGGCCTGAGGCACAGGGAAATAACCCAGATTCAGGAACAGCAGAAGCTTCCAATGGAGCACGAGCGTGCTCATAGTTTTCCATAAGGGCGGTGGATTTTTATCATTCCTTCAAGACCACAAGACATATCTCAAACGCTATGACTGTGAGAGTCAGGCAGCTCTGGACAGCAGAGATCAGCATGTGCTCGGGAGCTGGATCATCCACCAGGAAGCTAATCACTCTGTGATATAACATGGGGGCACGTGGCTTCGCTTGCTGCAGCTGGAAGCCCGATGGAAGCTCCGGAGGCAGCTGTTCCTGGCAG